CTGCTTTGAGTGTGTCTCAATTGTGAGTATTTTAATGACATCTTCTTCTTTTTTGTTAACAATGACATATCATCTCTGTACGTTGCATGTATATATACTTAGTTACTTGCGCATACATATATGTACATAGTAAGTGAATGTATATGTGTGTAACTATATATTAGCCATAGACCATTTTCGTATTAGTTAAAGTTGGCTTCGAGTCTGCTAGAAATACTAGGATGATTAAGATATATATACTTGTTTTTCTATATAATTCCAAATTTCCCTATATTTTCATATGCTATTAATGAGTTTCAAATAATCGATTAGTTGCAACCAAGAGGATTTCATCGACCATACTTGTAGCTGCCATCAACTCGGATTCATTAATTGTGTCCATCTCTTGGTTCCCTCGAATCATGTCATAAACGATGTCATGAAAATTAGGGTTTCTAAGAGAATAAAGATATGACTTTAAAGGGTCTTTTTAATAAAAGATTTTAAGAGAATATAGACCTAAACATAATTTACTGCTATCCAATTGATTCTAATTTTGTGTTACTGAACCTTATATTTAACTATCTATTATAAATCATATCTATAAACTTTAAAGTTAGTGGTAATCAACTAAAATATATTCCAAGCTAAAGTAGTTTTACAATGGAATTGAGTGTTAAAGTAAGAAATGAATTGCACTAGATAATGAGTACAGATATATTAAAAAAAAAAAAATGGAATTGAGTGTTAAAGTAAAATGATTTAGTTGCTTGTGGGCTGAGCATATATAAAAATGGACAATATCATCATTAAATTTGGGCTTAGCTAACCTGATTGGGCTTTCCTTTTAATAGGCAATAAACTATTATGGTATTTCTTTTCTTTTTTTTAAATTGAATGTAAAATTTATTTAAACTCAAAAATCTATTTTACATCAAGTGTAACAAAAATTAAGAGAATGTTTTAATAGAAACTGAAATCAAAGTTTAGAAAATTGAGAATGTTATGATGAGCTCCTTGCTTCAAACCACTTCTCCATAGCTCCTTCAGTCTGTTATGGTATTTTTTTTCCCTGGTCAGTACACAATTTTAAATGTATATATATGATAAGAAATTGGTAAGTGACTGCAAACTAGTTTTGCTTAACGATTGCATTTAACCAAAGATGTGGTGGCCTAGTAGTAATATAAGGGGGTTAGTTTCATTGTGCCATGGATTCAAATCATCTTTGGTACGGAAGATTATTCTTTAAATCGGAATATCTAAAGACTGACTTAGATACCGAAAAAATTATGAGCCAAAGGTTCGGAACTCCCACGGTTTATCCAATACAAAAAACAATTGCATTTTCGTCTTGAAAACAATTACGTGCAATTGGGTGTAAACATATTCTATATTTAGCCCTAGGAAAGTTCCCGACTATACCGACATGAATTTTTAATATATTACAAAATATCGCAATGTGTAACTTCTAAACCGAAACCGAACAAAAGTTTCAGTAACTTCTGTAGCGGACCAAACCCAGAGGATTCTGCTGTCATTTAAATACAGCTCACAGTTTTCCATTCATATACGAATATGAATACACACGTATTAATTATCAACAGAATTAGTATATTTGCATAAGAGAAACTCAATCTATGATTATAGTTTGTTCGTAAACTTGGTAACCTTCATAAAAATTGGCATCTTTGTTAAGGAAATTAGTTCTAAATTTTCCAATCCATACTTTGAGAGATGTATTTGCATAATATATTTGTTTTCTTGACATCATGCAGTACTCATGCTTACATTTTGTGCCAAGCAAATGATGTTATACATGCAAAATTGCATGCATCAGACTTTAAAGGAATATATGTATCAGTTGGTAAAATTAAATTTATACTAAAAATATAAACAAACATTTTTATGAAAAAATAAATATCAAAAATGACATTTTAATATGAAACTGAATGGCTATAACTTTTTGATAACCAACGAGTTATGACTTTACAACTAATTGTCTGTTAGTTTAGCAAAAAAAAAAAAAACTAATTGTCTGTTTATTCAAAATAAAAGTTATTGTTTTCCAGAAAAAAAAACCTTGATTTTAAACTAATTTCTTTTAGGTCGTTGGAATCTGAACTCATTGGTCTATCTCTTCTAAAAAGTTTATTGGATTCAGCAAATTCAAATGCCGACCTGGATTTTATATTTGTACGTATTTATTATATTACACAATAATTTTGTAATGATCTATTAATGTTTTATTGGTGTTACGCTATATTTTTGTTAGTATATATGGTAAGAGGAATCCAAATCGAACTCAAAAGTTTCGCATAACATGACGAACATATGAATAAACAGTAATAAAAAAAAAAATTCTTTTAGTCGGTGTTTTGCTACATACATTTATATATATATAGTTCGTTCGATACACTTTAGAAAATAACAAATCATACGAAAATTCTAAATATAGACACGAAAATACAAGCACACGGTCTAAAAAAGACAAAACCATAAAAGAAAGAACAGGAAATGGAAAGTTCTCAGCAAAAACAATGTCGTTCGACTATCATCGAGACCATCGAAGCACCATTACCACTAGTTTGGTCCATACTTCGTCGTTTCGATAAACCCCAAGCTTACAAACGTTTCGTGAAGAGTTGCACCATTCGTTACGGTGGACACGACGGCGACGGAGGAGAAGGTTCCGTCCGAGACGTGACGTTAGTCTCCGGCCTTGCAGGGGATTTCAGCACCGAGAGGCTTGATGAGCTCGACGAGGAGTCTCATGTGATGGTCGTTAGTATCATTGGTGGGAACCAAAGGCTTGTTAATTATAGTTCGAAAACGATGGTGGTTGCGTCGCCGGAGAAGGATAACGAGGCGGAGAAGACGGTGGTGGTGGAGAGTTACGTTGTGGATGTGCCCGAAGGAAATAGTGAAGAAGATACGATTTTGTTTGCTGATACAATTATTAGGTATAATCTTGCATCACTTGCTAAGCTCACCAAGAAGATGATGCATGGGGCTATCTCTATATGATTAGTTAATCATGGTTAATTATAGTAATAAATCGATGTGTTAGTACGTAATTTTAGTGTTAAAATAAAACATTTATTTGGTTATATATATATA